TGGACTCATGCAGGACATTATTTTGGGATCCAGGCCCTCAGCTGGATTCTTGCTCTATAGTCTGTGGACAGATTTCCTGCACTCCTTTGTATATCATTCTTTGGGTGACTATGATAAATAATCATATAAAGTATGTGTCCTGTATGATATTGTTTCACCTTGCACAATAACCCACAAACCATAACAGTCTACTACCTCTACTCTCCAAAGTTTACTGTGTTGATGCTGTCCTTTGAGCTTCTTTGTGGGCTATTCAGATAAAATTGGAGAGCTAAATTTCAGCTCCATGTACTACCCGTCTAAACAGAAAGTATGCAGTTATATAAATTGACTTGCAGGCAAAATAGGAACTTCCCTGCATGCTGTTTTTGTAAAGAGGTGATATTTTCCAGCCAAGCACATTGCATCCGTTTTTTCTGTCACTCTGTTATATAAAGCAGAGAAGCTGAAGGGGAGAAATGATCATTGTGCACAGTAAAATGCTTTTCATGGTCTCATTTAAGATAACTGGTGTGCACATCTTGACTTTTTTATATTTGAAAGCAAATAACAGTGGAAACATAACAGAAAATTATGTCAGAATCAGGCAAAGAGGCCTATACTTCTTATGTTTCCCTCTTTGTTGATGGATGATACAAAGTTTATCACACTACCCTGTTTTTGTTGGTGCTGGACTCATAAATTTATGGATCAGAACCTTAAGTCATGTGTTGGACAGTATTTTATGTATAATTATCAATGCACATATGGCATGGTTCTTTTCTTTTCCCATTTATTTTAGTGCCAATTAGTCTCCCTCTCATTAGCTTGCTCTATAATTAACATACTAACCATGCTTCTTGATAAAGCACCTAATAATGCTTGAGAATAAACAAGTATTTTAATTTCTGAATCATAATACTGTTTACAAAACACAGCTTTAATGATAGCTATCTTTCTGCTCAATACACTTTCATTTGTAAGTGTGATTACCTTCTCCCATGAATGTGGAGTTTAGTAAGGGCCCAAGTTACGTTATTTGCCTCCAGTATAAATTCTTGTCATAGAATCATCAAATTTTGCCACAGGTGAGTTGAATTGAATTGTATTTTTAAAAATTATAACATTGACATACTCAGCTTGGATTTCCATAGAACCATATATAATCAACTTTGTTATTTAAACAAAAAAAACCACAATTTTTTTTTCCAGGAAGCCAAGAAGTTCAAGATCAAAATCTTAAATCCGGTGTCTTTTGAAGATTTATTTCTTGATTCAGAGACAGCACTCTTTTTGTGTGTCCACACATGTCAGAAATAAAAAGCTAAATCTCTCTGGGATCTCAAACAGAATGTAATTTCTTTCATAAGAAATCCATTGTTATAACCTCACCTAATCCCAATTACATATGTAAATCTCTGTATTCTTATTATACCTTATTACTGGTTAAAGTTTCAACATGTGCATTTCTTGGGGGCACAAGCATTCAATCTATAGAGATAATTGCATTGCATTTGAGATAATCATACATAGCATTCCCATAAATATTCCTATGTCCTCTATGCAGGTTTAAGTTGCAGAATTATCAGTTTGTTCTGGCCTTGATGTTTGCTATCGAGGAGATCAACAGGAATCCCTGTCTTTTACCCAACATATCTCTGGGATTTGATATCTATAATGTCCCATATATTGAACATGGTGTGATGGATATTTCCTTCATGTGGCTCTCAGACCTTGACCAGAGAATCCCTAACTACATGTGTAGAAGAGAGAGCAAATCTGTGGCAGTACTTACGGGAACATCATGGGCAACATCTGCCCAGGTTGGGGCACTTCTTGGGCTCTACAAATTTCCACAGGTGAGAGAAGGTGTGCAGGGGAGGAAAAAAAGTGGCATGTTTGGAGGCAATCTCAAGTCTCTGAATAAGGTGAAGGGGAGAGATTGATGCTCTATGTATCTCCAGGTATATACTAAAAGGATAAGTATTCACAGGTTTGATGGGGACCCACACTAACTTTGGAACAGAGAGGAGGGAGAGGGTGGATTAGACAATGCAGCTTTTTAGTAATCTGACTCAAAACAATTTTCTAGAAAATTCTCACAAGGTGAGAGATTAGTTTAAGAAAATGTTAAGGAAATGTCTCTTACTATCACCTCTAGGGTTTTTTTTTTTTTTTTTTTAAAGCAATGCAGTACTGCTGTTGTGTTTTAGGCTAGTCTTATTCCTCATGGTTCTTCCAATGTTCTTTTTCTTTTAGCTTACCTTTGGACCTTTTGATCCTAACTTGAGTGACAGTAGTCAGTTCCCTTCTCTCTATCAGATGGCTGCCAATGATACATCTCTGGTCCTTGGCATGGTCTCCTTGATGCTTCATTTCCACTGGAACTGGGTGGGATTGGTCTTCTCAGAAGACCAGAAAGGCATTCAGATTCTCTCAGATTTGAGAAGACAAATGGACATATCCAGATTGTGTATAGCTTTTGTGGAAATGATCCCTGTCAGCCGAGTGATATATTCCCCAGACTCCTTATTAAAATTTCACCAGATCATAAACTCCTCTGCAAATATAATTATCATTTATGGTGATAGTGATTATCTACAAATTTTGATGTATAAATTAGGTCAAATGTTAATGACATGGAAAGTCTGGGTCACGAACTCACATTGGGATGGTGCCATCGTTCCCAGATATTTTATGTTAGACTCATTCCATGGAACTCTAATTTTTTCACACCACCATGGTGAAATCTCTTGTTTCAAAAAATTTATCCAGACAGCTAATCCTTCAAAATACCCAGAAGACATTTATCTTGCTAGGTTGTGGTATTTCTATTTTAATTGCTCATTTTCTGGGTCTGACTGTAAAAGATTGTTAAATTGTCTTCCTAATGCCTCCTTGGAATGGTTACCCGGACACCATTTTGATATGGCCATGACTGAAGAGAGTTACAATATATATAATGCTGTGTATGCTGTGGCCCACACTCTTCATGACATGCTTCTTCACCAAGTAGAAGTGCAAGAACTGAGAATGGGGAAAGGCCTGTTCTTTACTCCCTGGAAGGTAATGTCTCTTTTATTGGATGGCTCAAACCATCAACAAGAGAACATTCTAATTAGTTCCATAAATGTTTAAGTTATGGAGTTTATTATTCTTTCTGCAAATGCACAAGAGAAACATTTACTTGTTTCATGGTCAGGGGTGTAAATCAAGACCTATTTAGAAGTGGTCCACAAAAGCAATGTACTATTGTTAAGAAAACTTTGTGTTTTGGGTCAATGTTTTGTGTTACAAATGACCTCAAAGGACTATTTAGCTAATGACTTCCATAATTAAAACCCAGATTTTTCTAATGGCAGTCTGCTTTTGATTAGTTTATGTCTGGAGTACATAAGAGTTGTGTTCCTTTTGGAGAATTGGTAAAGGTACATACTGTTTCTTGAGCAGTTTTACTCTTTCCCGCTCTATTTCTCTTCCTCCTTTCTCAATCCCCTTCCTTTCTCCATAAAATTTATGTCCCTGCTCCCTACTGATTTTCTTTTTTTGACTGTGCATTTGAGTTTTGAGACTTTTTTATTTTTAT